CGCCTGCCTCTGCCTCCTGAGTGCTGGGATTAAAGGCGTGCGCCACCAGGCTGGGCCAGATCTTTTAAGATATTCCAAAATACCTAAGTCATCTCACAATTCACAAAAAAAAATCTTGTACAGAGCCAACTAGAATGTTTAATACTTAAATTCATAAAACTGCCCAAAAACGGAAATGACAATCTTCTTAATTACATGTGAAAAAAAACAAAAAATAAAAACAGGATTAAAGAAAAGCTCCCTGCAAAACTGCAGAAAGTTGGTCGTCCATTTTTTTCAGTTTTCATAGAAAAGTTCATCACTCTTCAAAACAGGACTAATGGGGAAAGCTACTCAACTTTCAATTAAGTCAAAAGCTGGGCATGATGGAGTGCATCTATAATCCCAGCATTTGGGAGGCTGAAACAAGACAGTTCAAGGCCAACCTGGGCACTTAATGAGCTCCTGTCTCAAAACAAAGCACAGCTCAAAATCAAATAAAGGGGGCTGGAGAGATAGCTCAGCAGTTAAGAACACTGACTGCTCTTATAGAGGACCCAGGTTCAGTTCCCAGCACGCACATGGTGGCTAACAACCATCTATAACTCCTGTTCCAGGGAAATTTGACACCCTTTTCTGGTATCCACAGGTGTTGTATGACATGGGTGCACTTACATACATGCAGACAAAACTCATGCACATAAAATTCTAAACAAATATTTTTAAAAATCAAGTAAGTCAAGACTTCCATTCATCCAATGGTCTTGAGGTTAACCAAGAATGTTCTTTGGAGGCCACAATGAGGGGCTGGACCCTGATTAGGAAGGTGCAAAAGTGTTAGTGAACCATGCCTAGCACTACAGAGCTATTCAAATCAGGGCTCAGTCTGGTCACTGTTCACTTGAAAAAGTAAAATACACATTTAGTCATTATAGACTATCAGTAGTTAGCAATAGGGTTTTCTTTTTAAAAATATATTAGTTTCTTTGGAGAAAAAGTCTACCATTTAACTCAGATTTTCTTTTTCTAGGCTGAGTCTCACTATGCAGAGCTGGCCTATAACTCATGACGTAAACCAGATGGTCCTTGAACTCACCAAGATCTCCCAGCCTTTGTCTCCCAGCCTCTCCCTCCAACAGTGCTGGGATTAAAGATGTGAGCCACCACACTGGCTTTAACTCAATTTTTCAAAAGGAGAAAAAGACTATGGGTTTACATCTTCCCCAAACAAAAGTCCAGAGTTTTGTAAATAAAAAAGAGATGTGTAGGTGTACCTGTTAACACATGCTAGAACATTCAAAACGTCTTCAGCTCAGTTTGACCAATGCATTATAATTACTATAAACTAAACAAGCCCAAGAAAAATATAAAGCAACATTACCATACTTGGTGCCTCCAAGTTTAGGTACATTGAAGAACTTCTTATGTGAATTGTCACTTAATGTTTCAATAAGGTACTCAAAGGTGTTTCCTGCAGAGGGGGAAAAAAAAAAAAAAACACAAACTTTTCATAAAATACAGCTACCAACTAACATAGTCAAAGAGAAAATTTGTTCACCATTGTGCAATGGAAATGCTGTGTAGGTGCATTATCTAATAAGGTGGCTATTAGGCACATGTGACTACTGAGCACCTGAAATACCGCTAGTGACTGAAGTGACCAATATTTATATGCACACGTGGCTAGTCTACCATTTGGGGATAGTACAGTTCTAAAGCATCGTCTTGTCAAGTAAAAAAAACTGTTAAGATAATCCATTATTTATTTTGTTTGTGACAGGGTTTCACAACTGCAGCTCAAATTGGACCCAAACTATGTTGCCAGGGCTGGCCTCCAACTCAAGGTAATCCTCGTGTCTCAGTCTCCTGAATGCTGGGATTACAGGTATGAGCCACCATGTCCACCTAGCAACTTTTTGATCTTAAAAGTATGCTAAATGCCTGGAAAGGGACAATAAAGATGATTTAAAGGTACGAGCATGTTTTCAAAAAAACCTGTGCTGAAAAACTGTAGTTAGGTACAGACAAAACAATTTGAGAACACAATTATGTTAGGAGAATT